GAATTTGAAGGATTATCTAAATTCAATTAAATTTTAATACCACTAAACCAAAAACTACACTGAGAGAATCAGAAGTCTAAATCTATTTTTTTTCTTTAAAAGTTTGCTGATTGCTGTTATATTTCTATCATGAGATCTGCTGTTTGGAAATTTTTCCAGATGTCAGTTTGGGATTCTTTGACTGCATGTCTGTCTTGTAATGTCCCTGAGTGCCTTCTTTGGTTGGATTGTTGTCTGCGATCCAGATTTAAGGTATTTCTGCATCCGCTGGAAGGTATGTCTATCTTTTATGTACAGTCTTTGGTTTCACCATCAGATCAGGCCCTCACTCGTCACGTCAGGGTATGAAACAGAAAGATGGCTCCAGCAGAAATGCTCAGCATGAGGTTTCACAGCAGGATTTTACTGACCAACGGGTGGTGCAGCAGTGGCTACAGCTTATATTGTCCACCTGTATGGTCTCCAGTGGAGATTTTGGGTTGTGGTTGCTTTGGTAACCCTGCATTTCTCATAATTACTCACGGGAATGGAATTCTTTGGCTCCATCGGAAGTCACTTCGGTCACTTCCTCGATCGGAAGTGACGGAAGTGATGGTATTCTCTGTCTCTGCTGAACACCGTGCCGCCAACAATGATTTCACTTGTCATCGTTACAAGTCACAAAACTTAAGTGACATGTTGCTGCTCTTTTCCAATGTGCACAAACCGTTTTAAAAATACTCAACCGAGAAAGGAAATGGTTAATATTTCTTTTTTGTTATTACAGTAAGTTATTACTTGTGCTATACTTGTGTATCCTTGGTTGAAACTGTAAAGATATTTATGCCCAGTTTTGCTCACTGAGTCACAGGCTTGCTTTACGAGCTCCGACCGCCATCCTGCTTCGTGACTGTTTGGCGCTACTTTAAAGGCCGGCTTCTGAGACGACCGAGGGTCAAACGTGTCAGACAGGGGGTGAAAAGTCTAGATAGAGAAGGAGATTACGGCATGTCGAGGTGGATATCCTCTGCCCCAAGTGTCGCAGCAGTGTGAAGCTGCATCCTGTCCCAGACATATACAATTGTTGCTCCCCGACCCGTGTTAGGCTTCCTGCTGTCGATCGTGAGTTCATTCAGTGCATGTCACTGCAGTCCGGCTGCTTGATGGCTAACAGGACGTTTCTGCCCTGACCGCACAAAGATCAGACTGTTTTACATGAATCTGGTCAGGAAGGAAAATCAAGTCTCCCTGCCAGACGTAACTCTAAAGTATTTAAGGCAAGTCTCAAGTCAGGTCATTGAGTCGTTAAAGGAAGAGTACGAGGCGAGTCTTCGGTATGTTGGATCATTCAGAGAGTTGTTTAAGTTGGTGCTAGTAAATCGAGGTAAAGTTAAATGTTAAGTATGTGTAAATTGCGACGCATCGTGGCCTTTTCAGTCCTTTAATCACGTAAACAAATCCAAGTCAAGCCTCAAGTATTTCAAAGCAAGTTTAAAGATCAAAAGCTAAAGATTTGCCAGCATCAGAGAGTTTTGGATCCTACCAGGCCCCCAGTTCATTACTTTTCCTTATGTGTCGCGGAAGAAAATCTCACACAGATAATTCTAATGGCCCAGGCGTGGGCGTTTCCTCCAGCTTGTTTACCGCTTAAACCTTGGAAGAAGATTGGCTGTCACCTGGGACCTATCAGGCTCAGGACAATAATCTGCTGTCTCTGTGATAGAGGGGGCGGTTTGGTTCTCACTGCCTATCTGCTGTTAGATCACCTATCTGCTCGGCACAGACAAGCTTTCAAGTTCTTTTGTTTCTGCACAAGGAAAAAACAACAACAAGTCAGTAGCCATGTGGCACTCTGGTGCTTTTCATGCCAGAGGTTCTGACTTGTATCTAACATCTGTTCACTCGCAAAAATCAGAAACAAATTGTCAGACTTGTTAGTTTGAAGGTCTCCGTTAAGATTTGGAGGCATAGAAACACAATCACATAAAAATGTGCTCCAAGTTTATCTCCCTCGGATAAGCAAAAATAGTCTGAGTGGATGTCCTTAAAGTAACGTAAGTGACTTTTGACCATCGCTGTGATCTTTATCATTGCACACACCAAGGGGGAAACGCATGGGTTAAAGGGAAGCACCATTAACCAGTGCTCAGACCAAAACAGAACACAACTATGGAGGCGGTCATCTTGATAGAAAGCCTATTACGTTTAGTTTTACTATAAATCAGTGAAGGCGGCCATTCTGCAGAATCCTCCCCACACAGAAACAAGGTTGTTGCTAACTATTAAAGAGTGCTGAAGACTTCTATCAGCATGCGATCAAGCTGTAGCCAGAGTGAATGATCGCCCTACCTTGTGTGAAGACATGGGCAGATGCTAGAAGCAGGACAGCAAAAACCCTGACGGACTTCATGGCGATTCTGCAGCTGTGAACTCCTTAAACGTCTCCCTTCGAGTGGCCCGTGTGAAAGGTGTCCAAGCCTGGGTGCTCCGCTGCTGATGCTTATTTTGGCACTTCCTTTAGATAGAGAAGGGGAGGAAATACACTGGCTTCCCTTCCTGACGTAAACTGGGTGGATGTAGAGACTAACACAAGGCAGGCACTTGGCTCAATTCTGGGTCTATTTAACAATCATGTCAGTTTTGTATAATGTGGTGGAACCCAAAGGCAACTCCCATTGCTTATTTTTTCCTGCTCTGACACCACTTAACGAGGGTGAAGGAGACTGGAGAGACCTCATGGAGAGTGAACGGAGCAGAATCGGACAAAACAGATGAGATTAGATCTTTAAAAAAGTAGTTATACTGAGCCAGAGCTGGGTGTAAGTGAAGTAACTGTGGTGAATTTTGATAGGGGTGACATTTCAAGCCTTAATCCATTGGAAACCATTAACATACTACACAGTTCAGTCATCGCGCACACACATAAACTGAGAGATGGAATCAGATTGGTAAATAATGACTGGAACTGATGACAAAGACCTGACAGCCCAGGGGAGCTGCTGAGATGCCAGCCATTCTCCACTGTTTGTTAAACAATGTCTTCACAAAACTTGTTGTCCAGGCGTGTTGGTGGTAACACACACTCACACATCGAAAGTCAAGACAGCTGTCTTTTGCAAAAGCATCACAAAATTAGTTTGGATTTTTATACAGAGTGAGGTTATAATCAAAGACGAAATAAGTTCTTCACTTTTGAACACTGCCCGTTTTTACTTGAAAAAACATTTTTAAAAAAAAAACAACTCATATTGTTTCCTACCCTATCCCAACCCCCCACCCCCAACAAAACCAAGCTGCTGTTTTTTGGGCCCTCCCAAAAAACAGGATGTCAGAGTTTACTTCCTTTCATTTAAACATTGTGTTTAAATGAAAGGAGGTCCAAAAGAAAGACACTTGAGATACGCACAAGAGAAGTGGACTTCTTAGCTAAAATATAGAATGACTTAAATGTTTGTTCGACTAATTAGAAATTGTTTTTTTCCACTGACAATAAAACAGAAATAGCTGTAACATATTTTCCCAACACATTTTCAGAAAGCCTGACATTTCCAAAATTAAATGTAAACTTCAACTGCAACCTAATGCACATGCCGATCACTTCATTCGGTACACCTATTCAGTTCCTCGTCAATACAAATGTGTAATCAGCCAATCACGTGGCAGCAGCTCAGTGCCTTTAGACCTGTTGACATGCTCACAATGACTCACTGGACTTCAAATCAATCATCAGAATGAGGAAGAAAAGTGATTGAAGTGTTTGTTTAATTTAATGTGTTTGTCGTTGGCAGGCTGGTTGGTATGAGTATTTAAGAAACTGCTGTTTGGGACTTTCCCACACAACCATCTCTAGTGTTTAAAGAAAGTGGCCTAAAAAGAGAAAATATGCAGTTAGCAGTTGGGTGGAGATATCTTGTTGACTCCAGAGGTCAGAGGGGAATGACCAGGCTTCTTCTAGCTGACAGGAAGGCAGCACTATTGCTAATATATAACCACTTGTTACAAGAAAGGTATGCAGAACATCACTCCCATCAGCTAAGAACTGCTACTGCAAAGTGTCGTCTCAAGCTCATGCTGCATTTGGATGTAAGGATCAGAATTTGTCATAAACAGCATAAAAGCATGGCTCCGTCCTGACTTGTATGAGCAGTTCAGGTTGCTGGTGGTGTAGTGTGTTTGAGATATTAACATTGGGCCCCTTTGTATCAATTCCCTCATTGTTTAAAAGTCACAAACCTACCTGTTGCTTACCATGTCGATCTCTTTAATTAAAGGGCACCCATCCTTTGACGGCTGCCCTCTCAGGTCATCTCAAACTTCTTTTGAACGTGACAGTGAGTTCGTTCTACTCGAATGGCCTCCAGTCACCAGATCTCAATCCAGAAGAGCACCTCTGAGATGTGGCGCAAACCAGAGAGTCGCATCATGGATGTGCAGCCATGCTGTCACATCAATCTGAGGAATGTTTTCAACACCTCAGGGTCCAACTCGGGTGTAGCTAATAAAGTGGCAGTTGCATGTATTTAAAAAAGAAACAAGGCTGCAGATCGCTGTTCTCACAAACAAGTGTGATTATGCACAGTGATTATGTTTGAGCTTAGCTTCCCGAGTTTAATCAAAGAAGTCACTGAGGTTGATAAAGAGGAAACACCTTTGCTGAGGAACTGCCAAGTAGCAATTTCCTATTTACATACTGCAGCGCTTTGAGCCAAGCTGCGTTTGACTGGAGCTGTAGAGGAGAATCACACTGAACTTATATGAAACCGTATATAATGACACGAGGATGATTTCTATCAGTTTTCGGGCGCTTTTCCCTTCCTGAGCTGCAAATTAAATACCACACCTCTACCGTCTTTGGTTTCCTCACAGGTTTAAATTACACAGAACATGAGTGGGCTTCCTGTAATCTCTCTGCAAAACACACACCTGATCACACCGCATTTGAAATCTACTGTGGGACGACTTGCAGGCCGAACTGCAGTCTCACGCACACATTCACCACACACACAGGAGATTCGGGTTCATTTCAAGTTGAAATTCATGCACATTTTTATTGAACAGTTATATAAAATACTTTTCATAGTTGCAAGTGCATGCCTCATCTGCCAACAGTTTTGAAGTTAAATTACAAAAGCAAGGCTTCATGTCGTGTAGTGAATTACTTGGGCACTTAAAGCAGTTCTTAAAAAAGATCTAAGTTTGTTTTTTCCTCGTTTCATCTTAAAGTATTGAGCAGTATCAAACCTGTAACTGATATACAAAGCAGAGGTCCAAATAATAGTCATAATAATAATAATCAAATTACACTTCCTGTGGCACATTTACAAAAACAAAACAAAACCGATTCACCTGTTATATGACACGAACAGCTAATCATGCATTTTGGAGTTCCACATGTAACCACACACCTCACAAGAATTGTCAAACATGCTTAATTGGACTGTGTGCACTTACAAGCGCAGGTTAAAAATTTCATTTCTCATCCATCATAGATAATTAAATGCTTCAATTACAAAAAAAAGAAGGCATAGAGCATCATGGTGTTAATTGAAAGTATGCAGTTATACATTTCCAGTATATGTTCACTAAAGCGCAATATATTTCAAAACAGGCCTCCACAGCCAAAGTTTTCAGATGTTCTATTTCCTTTTGTTTGATTTTTTTTTTATAAAACATGCATAGGCAGACACTTTATTGTATTCTTTTTTCCTTTTCTTTTTTACACAATATAGTTTCTCTATTTTTACTTTGTTCGCAATACTTAAAAAGAGAAAAAAAAAATAACACTCATTTCCAGCAAGCCACAATAAATCTACCCTCCCCCCCCTCCCCCCTTCCAAAAGAGACAAAAAATAAACATATCTGCAAATGATAGATAGGTTAAGTGTAAATTCCAGTTATGAAACTCAAGAAAATAGGTATTCATTACTGAGTTATTTAGCCATTATACAGAAAAATCAGGTCAAAGCACACACCAAAAGAACCTGAGGTAAGCATAATATGTACAAAACCATAAAACGTTCCATTATTTGGCATTTCCACAACATTGCAACATTCTTTTTTTTTTTTTAAGACTGCCTAATTAATTTCAGAGCTATTTTATAAGAGTAGCAAAACAAAAAGTTATCAATAAATAGTCCTTATTTAGTTTGTACACCCTTATATGTTAAAAACATTATCTCATGTTCTGTCCTTTTTAGTGCTGTATTTTTGTAAACGTACAATAGTTAGTAAGAAGTTAAACGACTTTCCGTTTCGGTGTAAATGAGCAAGGGTCTTTCAAGAAAGAAAAAAAAGAAAAACAAGAAACTGAATCACCTTTAAGATCTCTCTCTCTCTTTCTCTCCCCCATCGTTCTCTCCCTCTCTGACATACTGTGGTGTGGAGGTGAATCAAGCGCGGTTACGGCCTGACCCTTCAGAAATGTGACCTGGCAATAACTTAGCAGATTTGACTATGAACTAATATTTTGAAGGCATATCCAAAGACTAGCAAGTGAGATGTCCCCCCGTTACGAGCCATAGATGCCTCCCCCCTCCACATTCCAACACTCCTTCTCCTCCTCCATCCCACACCTTCACCCTCTGCCCCTTTTCTGTGGTGGCGGGTCGCGATGAGGCTGGGGGGCGAGGCAGCCCCGTCGGCCAAGGTGGCGCCTTGCTGCTGGGCCTTCACTGGATGTTGCTGCCGCTGCTGGTGCTCCCCTTGGCGTCTGTGCCGTTGGTCTCCGAGGACAGGGCCTTGTTGAGAGAGTTGAGGCTGGCGTCAGAAGGCAGGGCGTCTCGCCGCGGAGGCATCCTCTCGTTGATGCGGTCCAGGCCCTTGGCCTCTTCGAAGCTAGTGATCTTGTGCTGAGGCGAGAAGCCTTTGATTGCTGTTGAGATGCAGGAAATAAGGGTAGGGAGGGGGGGAAGAGAGTTAGGAGTGATTTTATATGGTGTAGAGTTTAAATGATTAAAAGAATGGGGGTGGAAGGGGTGGGGTCACGCTCACATTCACCCGTGAATCACCAAATTTGATTATATTTGCTTTGCTCTTGAAATTGTGAGAGAAAAAAATTATTTTACTGAGAAAATGACAACAGAGACTGCACCTGATCACCTGATGAGCTGCTGGCTAGTTCAGTTACATTTAATCCATGAAAACTGAATATCTAAAGGCGATCTCTGATATGATAAGTGCATGGCGTCGATCTCTCCAGACACACTTGTAGGTTTGGAAAACAGACATACTTGCTTTCTTGGGTGGGGTCACATGAGAAGATTTAAAAAAAAAAAAATCCTAGCCATTAAATCTGGTTAGCTTAGCTTAGTAACAAGTAACAAAGTTTCTTTTGGCTGCTACCTTGTTTGCAAAGTGTCAATATCCTCATATTTCTATCCAAGCTGTCCTTTTTGATACAACTCTTCAAGGGATTTGATAATCTCCCCCTGACTAGAACCATGCATCTTTTGCATGTTTGGCAAATGTGTTAACCACTACACTATGGAGCCGACTGTAAAGCGTTAAACTTCCGCCCCTTGAGCGTGGAACCAAAAGCGAGGCAATCAAAGGAGACTACCAAAGGAATGTTTACAGGCTAGTACAAAATATTGTTTTTTTGGTTTCTATTGATAATTTCTATGAGTTATAAGTGGATACCAGGCAGGTCAAAGTTTGTGCACATTAGTGCTTTGCTGGGTGTTAAGCTGAAGCAGCTAGCTGTGACTGAGAATCACGAGTGTTATGAATCTTCTCTTGTAACTCCACCCAGGAAATAAAAAATTCTAATAGTTGAACTTTCTTTGGGTTGAAGATGAATGAAGTGAGAAGAATCTTTGCTATTCATGAGGCCATACAAAGTCTTCAACCACTGTTACTTGTTTGTGTTTTTCATGGAAAACAGTATGTGTTGTGCAGCATTTTAAACGATTAATGGTTTAAAAAGGCATGAATGCAACATGAAAGTATTTAAGCAATTTGATAATGTGACAACACACGGATATAACTTATGTGATAATGCCGCTTGACAGATGAAACGATTACATATTCCTTCTAACTCTACAAAGGGCACTTCCTGACGTCAGGGTCGACAGGTTTTCACTGTGCCAACAATATCCGTGATAGCAGACCATCTCGTGGCCATCTTGTCATGCTTTTTTTGCGCATGTTAAAAGTTAAGAATGTGACCGATATTAACCAAAATCTCAACGCAGCCGTATCGCGGAACACCTGAAGACCCCAAACATCCAGGTCACCCCATCACAACACAGCTTTTGTAACGACAAAAGGGAAGGGGGAGAAATGATCAAAGAGACAAGAAAAGAATAAAGGGAGGAGAAAAAGAAACACTAGAGTGGAGCCCACTGAGACATTCACTTCCACAAAATAGAAACCACGTTGAGACTGAGCTCACGTACAAAGACACTACCAAAGGAACTTGGGGTGCTAACGACTTGTTTAGTCTGCTTGAAGCATGCAGCAATTGAAGGTTGACTGGAGGTTATGATGGGTGGAAGTCGCAATATGATACAAAACTGAGTGAACTAAACTGAATAATGGAGATAAAACCCTTTAAATATGCAAAGAAACACCAATGAAATGAATAAAACCAACAATTCAAGGCTGTTTCATTCAAGTCGATGGATACTTTAAGTATTACAAGAACGAATCGTTCCAATATTCAGCTTGAGTTCAGCACTTTTTAAAAAACATTTTGTTACTTCCACCTTTCATACAGACTGAGGGTGATTAATACTATGGTTGTAAATAAGAAAACCCTTCTTACTAGAATGGGGGTGTGACAAGGGGAGGAGGGGATTTGATTTAAGAGGACAAATTGGGGATTGTGGAGAAGACGGTGTGATGGGTAGCGTAGTTGTGTTGCTGCATAGCACAGGTCAGACACAGGTTATTAGCAGCTCAGAGGAAAGAACACGACACAGCAGGGCCACAGAGGATCCACATGGAAAGAGAAGCAGAGAAGAGTCTGGACACTACAATGGACTGTCCTCTATGGGGCTAAAGAGGAAGTACTGGACAATTTCAATGTAAATAGCAGCTGGCATACTACTATTTAGCTCGCAGTTGAGGTTGTTCTTGCGCCAAAGGCGATGCAAGTAAAGCAGATTTTAGGGAGCGTCCAATTTGGATTTCAAAGCCTCCTGTGGAGCGTCTACCAATTCAGATTCAGCTCTAAGGAAGGTGTTACATAAATAAAACAGCAACAACAATGCACAACTGCTTCAGCTGTTTCAAAGGGGAAAACCATCAAGAGCTTTCATAGCAAGACTTCATTGTATTGTGTGAGGGCAGAGCAGAGGGGGAGCGTGCTGCCTACTATGATAAGAGCATTGCATCAATCATTTAAACTATGATGAGTGATTTTATTGAAGTACCTTCCTCTGGAAAAGTTCATTCAATCCCCAGATAAGAGAACAAGTGCAGTTTACCACATAAAGTATTACCCTCGGCAACATTAGGAATATATTCCATTAGGAAATAAAGTGTTGCTTCAAAATGATATTCAATATCCTGTCAGGGTGAACTCTACCGATAACTCTACAGGACCTACTTCCTCTTTAAGGTCGTGAAAACCTTAATCAGGAAGGTGGGGTTAGAACACTTTGAGTTATTTTTCCACTTACATGGTGCCTTATCTAGATCTGCTGCACACATTTGCTGTGGAAAAATACTGGTACCAGTACCACAACATTAGCACCTGTGCTTTTGGGAAAGGCCAAATTCAGAACCCGTGATGGCGATAAAACCTTTGTGCTTCTCCTATTGGTCTGAAGTAGTTAAGGCTTGTTTAGGAAAAGTTCATGCCAGATCTAATACTGTGCAAAAGTCTTGATTTACCGCTTCTTTGTCCAGTTTTATCAATTTTTTTAAGGGCAAACCATGTGAGAGATACCAAGTTGTTTGGATAACAGCTCTGAAACTTATCTCTTGTGTTTCTGTGATAAGCTGCCAGTAACAATGTGCCTAAAGATACAATTTAAAATAGGCTTTTAAATAAGTTGTCTGTTATGTGTAGACACAACACTGGTTCATCCCTTTAGTCGAGTGTCTTTTTACACTTGAAAAGATTCATAGCTCAGCGGTACTAATTCTAAAAAATGGAGTGCCTGGAAAAGTATTGCTCCAGACCACCTTAAAAATTGCAACATAGTCTGGCTCCTTGTGATACAAAAACAATATAAAATGGGCCACGGCTCAAGACCTTTGCACAATACTGCACTTTTCAACATTAATCAAGAAGCAGCTTCCTATGAATAAAAAATGAAGGATTTTATTGGCTTGTGTGCATCACATAACCCCTCAAAATTTTAGGTTTTCAGGACCTTTAAGGATGCTGGTCCAGTCTATCCCTCTGGATAGGCTGAAGGCTTAGTAAAGCTGCCAGATGACCTGATGATACCCACCTCCTACATTATATACGTGTGAATGTGCATTTTCTCTTTATCTTGATGTTTCATGCAGATTATTTTAACTTCAAACAGAGAAGATCATTAACGAAGGAGTTTTTGTGGATGAACCGATTGTGGCCTACACTAGCGCTGATTTCCGAGGAAGACCGCGAGTGGTAATTTGCTTTGCACTCACTCAAAATCACAGATGACCTTTGTGATTATAAAATCTGTGCTATGAAAGACATTCCCCTTTCAAACATGTGACCACAGGATTTCCTAATTTACTTACTTCTTTTTCTCCGTTAATACTATGCCACAATTTGTTAGCCCAAACACCCAACACACTCTATTCAAGCACCAGCGAGATGGATGAAAACCCAGCACAGCCCCCTGTCTATTGCCATGAGAAGCAACAGAAGAGGGCAGCCAGACCCATTTACCTTCGTCAGCCTCAATAGCTTCAATAGTAGCTGAAGAGAAGAAGAGGGAGGTTGCAAAATGAATGAGAGAAGTGAGCAGGAGAGTTCATTTTGTCCCAGGAACAAGTCAACGAGCAGCAAAGACAGCCAATGCCGACAACACAGGTTAAAAATCATCTCCACATTTTATGACAGAGGACATGTGGATGTTAGCAAACAGGGGAAACGGTGAAAGAGGGGGGAGGAGGGGAGAGGATGAGCCTTAGTTCCAGATCTGTAAAGGGAAGGCGATACACGTATGTAGCAGCAAACCTCATGGAGAGGATTGCATGTTCGAGGTACTTTGAATGTGTTTGACAAAAGGTCTGAATGTGTGACAGATAAAATGGAAACTGCAAGAATGAACATCGACAGCAATTTTAGCAAGTTGCAGATGCATTAGGTGTTCCTGTTACGCAAAGAAAAGAGTACATTTCGAAACGAGACAAATGGAAAACAGAGAGAGGACTTAAGTGCGCGTGCAGGTGTGAGCTTTCTGGCCGTGACTGAACTGTTAATGTAAAGCTCGAAGTACGACAGAAACATGGAGCGTCGTTAGCGTTGTGTTGTGTGCAACATGAAGTAGCATCTGCAGCTGCGGGATTAGCATCTTTTGATATTAAATATCAAAAGTGCTGGCTTACTTCTGCGACGCGTGAGGGGAGGAAACCTTTCAGCCACTTACCAATCAATTACAGTCATCCTCGAGATAATAAGTGAACACACGATAAAACTTTGCAGAGTCAACTTTAACAAAGATGGGGGGGTGGGGCGAGGGTGACAACAAAGTAATGACTAAATTCTACTAAAGACTACATACTTAAAAAAAGGGCACAATAGCATGAGACTTTAAAGAGTATGACTGATGGAGTCAACATTAGAGTAGAAGCACACTGATGTGCTAAGGGCAGCAGTGTGATTCTACCAATGTCGTAACAGGAATCTCTGAACATCGCTCTACCTTCACCGCAGTTCTCTTTAGTGTCAGCTGAACTTATATACTGTATACGCTAATCCTTAAGAGCACTATTGTCATGTAGGCCATCGGCAGAAACACCTGTTTGAAACTTAAAGGGGACCCATGATGCTTTCCCTTGCTTTCCAAAGCTGGACGGGCATATCAGACATGGTCGAAGTTCCAAATAATGAGGTCAGAGTCAGATATTCCCCCGGCTGATAACACAGAAGCCCCACCCACCTGCTATTCAAGCAGCTCTTTTCAGACAGGGCATGTGCTAATGGGCAGCAACACGGCCCAGCATAAGATAAATGATGATAAAAATGAATCACGCAGAGCTACTTTAGTTGATTCCCAGAAAAAAAACCCCGAAAAAACCCATGATATTGGAAATGAGCATGATAGGTCCACTTTAATGTTGGTTTAAAAGCTCAGTAGAGATGCTGAAAATGACTGTGAAAGAATGCTATGCTTTCAGGATAATTGCATCCTTCCTAACAGAGATATGCAAAACTGACAGCTTTAGTCAGAGGCTCTTTGATTTCTGACAGACTCACGTCTAAGGACACGTGCGCACTAAGTTGATCAACACGGTGTTATGTAATATGTTCAAGTGGTTCTTTAATAAAGTCTTCCACGATTTCAATAAGATTTTATACATTAGAAACGGAAAGGGGTGTTATTAAGCAATAAAACACGATCTTACTGAGATCCATAGACCTGCACGACTGCTGCTACCTTAGTGTGGTATGACCAGTAGCTAAGTAGGTAATGCTACATGAGGACCAAACAAACAGTTTGATGATTAAGTGTGCTAAAGTACTGTACACCATACTGTACAGCATGATTAAACATTTATTATTATCATCATCATCATTATGTAAAGGTTACTAACACTATGCTACATATGTTTTTGTGTATTCAGGAAAGTGCTAGCTGATGTAGGGTGAGAACCTGTGCGAGGAGAGGGAAGTCTACCGGATTTCTGCTTTACTTGGTGAATGACAAGGCAGATGGCAGCTATCCCTTTTTCTACACTTATTAGTGTCGATACGGTTTTATCCCTTGATTCACAGAGACCTGAGTCTATTCTGACAGAGCACTGCTGAGATTCTCTGCTAGCGCTCAGATCTGATCAGCGCTGTAAACGTTTGTATCCAATTAAAGCGTGCGTAAAGGTGATTCCAAAAAAGCCTTCATCTCCTTGCTGCGGCAGCTTGCCAAACTCATTGAGGGAGCATTTGAAATTTCACATGAGAAAGAGTGAACTGAACTCTTATCTTTTCCCACAAAGAAAAAAAATAACAACACACAATGGAATACTTGCACAATTGATTATACCTGCAGTTTCTAGGGAGAAAGGAGAAAGAAAAAGATACAGGTAATATTTGAGATAAACCCAGTGGAATACAGTGAAAGAAAAGGACGGGAAGAGAGCGTATTAATGCCAGATCAGAGGGGACACATGGACACAAAAAAATTTAAAAAATAAATAAAAATCTGCTGAATGTGTTTGTCATTGTTTAGGGAGAGGGGAATATCTAATTTGTGCAGAAAAACTAAGACAATGAACTCCAGTTATGTTGATAAAAACTACAAGGAGCAACTGTTGCTGTTTAGTAACAATTAAACTAAACATAAAAAAAGACTGACACTCTCAGAAACATTTAACTATGCTAACATTTTGAAATTCCAGTGCAGTTAATGAGGAGAGAAATGAAGGAGTCTGTATTTGCAGTATTCTGTAAACACTAAGCTTGCACTTTGTTGAGAGTTCTGCTGTGTAAGGGGAAAACGTGTTGGTGTGAGAATCCACTGGTGGTGGGGGGTCTCTGTGACACACTTACCATTCTGCAGCTTCTCTTTGCCTCCGGACAGCACTCCGCTAGGTAGCATGCCTGTGGGCGTCAGACCCTTCAGCGTCAGCACGCTCTCACTCTCCTCTCTGAAATATTAACCGAGCAACATTTTATTTATTTACACGCTAGAGCTGATTTTATTTATTTAGAAAAACATCCAAAATATGGGTTTTGGGCAGTCACATAACTACATAACCATGTTACTAAGTTAGCAACAAAAAAACAAAAAAAAGTCAGAAATCAATTGTAACATGAAATATTAAAGTAACATATTTATTACTTTAATAAGTTATTAATAATATATTCAAGCGCAGATCTCTAAGGCTGTGTAAATGGAGCTTAACGCAACAACAACACTGTTTTTATGTGTTTACCTGAGCACAGAGAATACCCTGGCCATCTTCCCAATGGCACGGATCTTGTTGCGGATGACCTCCTTACGTGCAGAAGCTGTGGCACCTGCATTGAGAAAGTGCAAAATGTCTTACAACCCGTGACTCATCTGAACTCAACCACGTCCTGTGGAAGTCGAGCGCACAATGCACTGCATAGTCTATGTGCTGTTTGTTTTAATCCCCATAATCCTCGTTAAAAGATCATCGAATTCAGTGAGTCTACTCAAAACAAAGCACGTCTCTCCACTATTAGTTTATCCAGGAGTGCAGGAGACGAATACAATGCAAACACATTGTTATTGGAGTCTTAAGTTCGGTTTACAGAAAATGGTTTGCATCTATAAACACATCACATCATCTGAGTAATTCTCAGCATTCAGTGCATTCATGCTGCGGCTGTGTTACGTACTGTGAGCTGCAGTCCCTTTGACTCTTACAGATTATTTTGCCCAGAGAGCACTTAAGCCTTTTTAAAACAAGCCACTGTTCTCCATCACTGAATGGCTCTGACCTTGTCCAAAGTGTTTTCAGCATGTTTCGATAAGCACGCTCTTTAAATTTTCCTGTGCTGTGTTTTAGCGGTGGAGACTAACGGGATTTTTCCTGGACTGGAAACTTTGTTTTAAAGAGATCCCCTTTTGCAAAATAACAGTTTCAAGGTCCCAAAGGCCCAGTTTGGAAAATGTACGAGGGACAGAAATGAAGTCGATGCATGGAGTAAAGCTGGGTAAGGGACACAGCTGACAGTGTGACGATCTGTTTCAAAGTATTCCTGCCATCCTCAGGTTGCTCATTCTTCAGAATATATTTATTGTGTACAACAAAGACTAATTTAGATAAAAGGCATGACCCTTCTGAACACTTTTCCCCCTTTCTGGCCCGGCCTCAAACAGGACTGGGTAATTGTTAACACTTTTGACCCCTTTTTCGGTTTAATTGAGAACCACAGTTAGCCTCAGCAGAAGTGTTAGCAGGCGCTTTAAACAGAGGTGTTAGTTTACAGACTTCTGAAATGCAGAGAGCAAGCACTGGACAAAAGTCTGCCCATCTCTGCACACACCAGTACAGCTAGTGTTTGTACCTTTTTTGGGGGGATATATTAGCTGTCCTTCTCATGAAACACCCCCAGAAGAGAAGACAAGAGAAAGGACAGAGAGATCAGTGGATGGCTGCAGAATGAATGAGGTGGAAGAGAGGGAGCGCACGGCGAAATAAGAGGCAAGAAAGCACGAGTGTAAACAAAAGCGATGCCTTGAGCACAAAACTCTGGAAAACATAAAAAAGAGAAATTAGATGAGATAATCATGGGGAAGAGAGAGAGTGAGAGAGAGAAGAAAAGAGATGTGAAAAATCTAGTGAGGTTGGAAACATCAACATAATGGCAACTGAAAACCATGGAAACCATAGCAGATAAAGAGCGGGTCATAGGAAGGATTATCTGAAAACATAACAGGGCACAAAAAAGGAGCTCATGAGCGAGAAAGAAGACATAACACAATTGTCAAAACAGTTAAAATAAATAAATAAAAACAAGCATGGAAATGGCTGCGAAACTAAACAAGAAACAAGCAGTGGCAAGAAATGAGATCAGCTAAAATCAGCATGAGTGAGTTGGTAGAAAATGAAGATGTTAAAGGACAGCTACTAATGTTTAGGAACGTGCATGAGTTGTGCTAGTTTCCTCATCAATATAATCAGAATTTAGCTTTTCACATATGAAATGCTTTAAAATGAGCCACATGTAAAACCAGTTCATTCTATAACGATATTTACAATCACAACTTCAACAGCACAATGAAGCAAGAAAGGTTCTCTTTGTGAATTTGGAAAAAATAGTAACAACCCTCCCCAAATATTTCTAAATCATTATAAACCACAACATTTGGTCTTGCACATGATCTGTGCAAATCTCAATCTACGCTCCCTGATCAGTAGATTAAAGGAAACGCTGCGTTTAGATGTGCAGAAGGAGCTCAGACATAGTGGAAATCTGCTGAGATCCTGACACATATCCTGGGTTTACTGATGCACACTGTGACCATTAGTAAACACAAAGAAAGAGGAGGAAGGGGGGTGGGAGGAGGGGGTCTGGTGAGATCATTTCCTGTTTGGCAGTAAGAGGTGGGGCAGGCAGAGGAAAACTGGCCATCTCGTGTACATAAGCTGTAAGCTGGTATCAAACAGACGACTCACCACTAGCGTAGGTAAACCAAGCAACTTAGCAGAAAACAACACTTCAAAAAACTGTCCTCAAAGGATTTTTTTGTTTTAATACTGACAGACATGTTGAGACTTTATAAGGGTCTTCATATTTCCTGGATTATCTAAGGTCATCATTTCCAAGCTGCCGAGTTCAGTCATTCAGACGTCACGTTCCTCTGTGTTTAATATTTTAAAGCATATATAGTTTTTACATGTAAAATTCTGAACACCATACATGTAAAAACTAAGTAAGAGTCTGTGTGTGTATGAGGTTTTGAATAATGAACGTCTGATACGCCCTCTAGTGGAGCAGGGGCAAAGTGCAGAGCTTACCGTCCAGCTCCTCTTCAGTTGACAGCTCATCATTGGAGCAAATGCTCAATACGTTCACTAGCATCTCCGTCACTGAACAAGAAAAGAGAAGCATATTTTAAAACATCTCACACATATTTAATAAAAAACTTCGCTGAAAAACTCCGGGCTGCTCGGGTTCACTCGATTAACTCTTCCACACACACACACACGCAGTTAGCTGTGCTGATCAGTGACCTCGTGAGACTGCCGGGAATGGCATACTTATGTGTGATTAATTGACACAGATGTGTCACAGCTTAACCCCAGTAAATCTTCAAAGCAACCCAGACCTCGACAATGCCAAGCACAGCCAATGTTTTTTTCAGTTTCTAACTTTCATGGACTTCTACTTATCTGCAATTTACTTTATATAGACATGTGTGTATATATCTATATCTATAT